GGGCTTCACGACCTGTCTCAAAACACAACACTGAAGGAGCCTGGGGCACAGGAATATCTGTCCCCACTGGCTACAGGAAATTGAGTGCCTTCCACTTGACATGCTTTTGCTTGCAGGCAACAAGAGCAGCACAGCAATGCTCTACTGCAGAGATTTCCCAGGAGAGCTCAAGGGAGTCCCCAGACGAATTGGAAGGAATTGACAGGGTCCTGTGACGACGTGAGGGTGAGTCTCCCTGGGCCCCCCTCTTGTTCTCTTCGGGGGAAGCCCAATCTGCCTCAACCCCCTTCTGTGTGAGGGAACTCTTCAATTCCATGCCAACCAATGTGATCAGTTCGTGTACTTGCCAGATCTCATTTTTCTTGCTCTTTAGGATTTGGCACTACTCCTTGCATGTCTGTCACCAAGATGCAGGTGGGGGCTGTGGAAGCGGTTCCATCAGACGCTTCCACAAGGTGGAATCCTTGATGTAAGAGATAGCTTTGCAATGGTGGTGCACAACCCCAAATTGTTCCTCAACACTCCTTACTCATGTAACCGCCTCCAAAACAGCAGGAGCTGTGCACATTCCCTAGAAAAATCTTGGAAAGAGCTCATGTCCACTTCCTTCAAGAGAGACACTGGGAAGAACCTTTCGATTCTCCTACCTGCCGCAAACACGTAGCAAGGTGACGGTGCAGTTGGTTTTATCCTGGCCACCACTGAGCTTGAGTCCCTCATCATTTTTAAACTCAACACCTGTATATCTCAAACTATTCAATTTCATGGTACAAGTTCTGGTTTTCACATATTTTATTGGGTTAGTTTTCACTTCTCTCCCTTGGTGAGGACGTTCTAATATGTAGTCTTTGTGTGTCTTTGTGTTGTCTTCCAGCATGCAAACAGGCCAAGACCCCTCTGCAGAGGCGAGAGGAAATCTACCCTGGGCCTCAGTCTCACATGTAGGCCACCTTCGAAGACACCTGACGTGAGGTGCAGCGGACCCGCAGTGTCTGCCATCCAAAGACCTGAACTGAGCCTCTTCTCACCTCGTGGAATTCAGAATGGTCAGGAAGTGCCTGTCCCTGGCACGCCTCACGCAGCATTCAAGCACTTTGCCCCGGATCCTACCCTCATTGTCCCGCTGAGGGACAAGAAGCCCCATTTTTCCTCCCTGGAAGATCCCCAGGCGCCCTCTAAGACACATGGCCTGGGCCACGCTCTCAAGCCCCAGGCACAAGCCATGTATCTGGATGTCAACTCCTATCCCAGCCCACAGGCTGCTGGACCGACTGTGGACCGGGATGCCAAAATCAGCCGCAAGGCACCAGGCAAGAGACCTGCCCAGGTCCCAGTGCAGGCTTTCCAGATGCTCCCAAAGAAGCCGAGACTCACTCCCTTCCAGGCCCCTAAGAAGAGCAATCAGAGACCACATCTGGGGGTTTTCCAGACTCCCCTGCCTCCACCACGGACAACTGGACGGAGACCCACTGTGGGACGCCAGGTGACCAGAAAGATGCATGCCCAGGCGAAAAGCATTGACCTCCCGCCTCCACACCACAGACCTCACCTGAATACCGCTCAGCCCTGCACTGTGGCCCATCGCCCAGCACTGAACCGTGTCCCGGGCCAGTCCCTGAGAATGCTCTTCAGGAGATTAGACAATGGCTGGTGGAGCTCCAGACTCCTGACTGCTCCCTCCTGCCTTCCAGCTCAGAAGCCAAGCCCTCCCGGGCAGAGCCCTGTCACACAAGAGACGTCTGAGGGACACTGTGCCCAAGTCCCACTGAGTGTCCTGGAGAATGACCTCCAGGTTTCCTCTTCCTCTGAAGAGAGTGACTGGGAGGGAGACACCTCCTGCCAAGGAAGACACCTCCATCCGCCCCAGGACACCTGGAACTGACTGTCCAGTGAGGAGGAGAAGTCACAAGGAGCAAGGTTTTTCTCGCGAATCAGCCATTCCCCATCTCTGCTCTGGCTACACATGGTGGAAGCCCAGACGATGCTTGTGGACACACACAGGCCAACACTGCCCTCTTTCATGATGGAAGCAGAAGTGACGATTCAAAGGGCGCTAATCAACCTGGAATAGGAAGTTGTTTGACACTGAAATCCATTGGACACTACTGAGTTCGATTGCAGGGTAAGGTCTCAACTAAAAGATAATAGGAAATGGATCTGTATCTCTCCTCTGATTTCAGAATTTGGGGAAAATGGGTAAAGGGCTCAAAATAGTCCGTGGCAAATTGTAAAGACTTCCCTGACCT